AGAGATTGTTAAAGGAAGGTTTTACAAACAAACGAAATGAATCATTTTTGATATTCAAATAAGTGATTTTAGAGTAAAAATCCTGTGTAAATTAACTATTTTACGCTGTTCAAACCGGTGCCTCCGAGACATTTATTGAGTGTTACTACCAACATGGAAACGAAGCTACATGTTAACAACGAGGCAAATGTAAGTGTACTCTTTGTTTCCCATATTATCACATTTGACGGGTTTCCTAGCATGTGACAAATTTTTAACAAGGTCACATTTCTTTCAATGTTTCTCAAACAAAAGACAAAAAAACAAAAACAATTAAAAGGTGAAACAATAGACAAAACAACACAACACAAAAAGTTGTGCGGTTAGCGAAAGGCAAGGGTGCCCGAAAGAAAAATGAAGACATCGAAATGATATGATAAAATTTGGTATAGTTTGTAATATTTCTGCTGTTGATCTTATTCGGCGTTATCATAACTTCAAGATGTCGGAGCGATGCTCTTTTCACTTGCCATTTACTCTTAAAAGATCAGTTTCAGTTACAGTCATCGTCTTACTTTGAGTTTATGAGTGTTAACAAAGACATTTTACGTCGGTCCAATTTCCACATGCAATGGCTAATGACACCGATTTTCATAACACTTGGCACTATTCAAAACATGTGGGGTCAACTAAGGCAATCAACTTCGTTCAAAACTCCCCTACATTCATAGAAACAAGTTTCATAAACTTTCTTAAACAGAAAAACAACCTTAGTCCTGCAAGTCCTATGGTAAGTTTTGTCAACTAGAAGAAATGTAGCAAACGTGATAATCTATGGTAAGTATCACCTAGGTTCAAAGGTCACGTTTTACTTCATTGTCGTCCATATTGTTAACAAGTGGTTTCATTCCTGTGGAAACGTGATATAGTTTAGGAAACTCTTTGGTATCGTTTTACAGAGTGGATTGAGCTTTGTAACGTTTCTCACGACACAGTTTGGACTCTTTGAAGACTTTTCGAAGCTTCCGGCGAAAAACTCGAGTCTTCGAAATCCCGCGATATTTAGCTAAAACAAAAACACAGCATAGTGACCTTAGTGCTGGCATACGATCATGATTTGTCCAGTTTAATCCCAATTTATGATATCAAACTCTCCCTACCAATTGCCGTACATTTCTTGTAATTCAAACCCAGAGAATGTGGTATCAAATCGAACACTATCCTCTTAGTTGGTAGTTTACTTTCTTCTCGTTGTCTTTCTGCTTGAAAATTTAATGCAACTTTAAGGAGAAATTCCCTCTTGGCCACTCCTGGTAGTGGCAGGGCTGTTAAGCCCATAGTCCAGAGTCAGTACCCGATCATATTTTGTTCACAAGTTAGTACTTCCAAGAAACTAAGCAATACAAACATCAATTCTAAAAATCAGTCATAAACTCCTTCAGGTGGCTGGTAGATGGAAAGGTGACTTTTTACACCAGTATTCTTTCTGATTTTTCTCTTTTCAACAGAAATAATAGAAGGACAAACATTTACATAGGTGGGGGTTATTACCTTGTATATGCACCAACTGATGCAAAATAGC